TGTAAAGAATGTGGATATGATATCTATCAGGAAGTAACTGCTAGAGTATTCGTGCCTTTGTTTGACTGTCCATCCTATTGATGCAAGGTAAATAAAGCAACAGGGAACCTCATCCTTCAACTTAGGGCATCAAAGTTTCTGAAGTTTCAAGAGGCCAAAATTCAAGAGTTGGCTGAACATGTTCCCAAAGGTCACATTACCAGAAAAATGACTGCATTTCAGAGGAGAACTTACAAGGAAGGTATCTCCTCGTGATGTTGTGGAATGTTAGGCATTTTACGGGGAATATGACCTTTGGAAACATATTCAGCCAACTCTCAAATTCTGGCCTCTTGAAATTTCAGAAACTTTGATGTCGTAAGTTGAAATATGAAGTTCTTAGCTACATCTATTCCAATATACTTCTCTTAGCAATTCCTCTGGTTTCTGATTTTTAAAAACCAACATAGTGCACAGTGGGACAGCCACCACAAGATAGCCACCACGGAACAATCACGAAAGAACAAGAAATTACACAATATAGAAATGCAAGTATTAAATGAGAACACGAAACAAGTGGAATGCATACCGCATAAACATGTTTGGCACCAACTTTTGCGCAAAAGAGTGACAGGATTCCTGTCCCAGCTCCCACATCAAGGACAACTTTGTCCTTGAAAAGAAAGGAATTTTTATAGATTACATTTTGGTAAGTCTTAGTTCTTACTACATCCTTCAACATCTCCTGTTAACAAGGCAAAATTACAATAGAACCATGTAAAAATCATCGTTAAGCAAAATTTTGTCAACAAAAGATGCAAACTTGCACGAAAATGCAAAGAGAGATGGATACTTACTTCATGAATACCTGCAAAACCATCAATTAAACAAAGGAGGAAAAATTAGCCTCTAAAAGTAATAATCAGACCAAGCAAATCTGCATAAATGTGTCAGCTGGTAATAAAAGTTGAGGGTCAAGTGGATATTATAGGTTACTGAAAATTTGAGACATAAAGAAAGATACTTTAATCCACAAAGAATATTGAAAAACCTATGAATAAGTTTTTGCAAAAGCTGAAACAAATGCCACCTAAGTTTTCCTTAGCTCTTTTCTCCTCCAATGTTTGTTGTTTTTTTTTTTAGGTGAACTTCCAATGAAGAAAAATGAGATTCTCAATACTTGTAGAAACTCAAATTGAATACTACATTTACCTAAAACAAAGTAAATAACAAACTACAATGAATTAAACAGTACTGACCAAAATGAGAATACGAGTCAAAATAATAGTCGGCGCTGGTCTTATCGCCGTCGACAATTGAATCATCATCGGCGGCGGCGGCGGCGGCGGCACCCATGGAAGTATCTTCGTCGATTTCAACGTTTGAACTTTCCGTAATAGTTTCATCGCCTTGCTCTACTACCTGCTCGTCGTCCTGCTCGTACTGAAATTTGATCTTTGATGGTTTTAAATCGTGAGCACTTGTGCTTGCTGAATTTTGATTCTCATTGTTGCTTCGACAATCCATTGTTTGATTCGATGAGATTTTGGAGTTGTGTGAATCTTGGGTTTGTAGGGTTTAGGGTTTTACAATAAATGGGTGGCTGCAAATTAGGGTTTATGAGGGAGGAAATATCCGTGTGGACCCACTGTTTCCTGCTGGACCCACTACTCACTTTTTAGTTTGGCAATGATCGAAATTTGGTGCAAAATTTGGTGTTTTTTTGCTCCAATGGAACATCAAATCTTGCACCATTATAGAGCATGAATAGTGTTGCACACACTAAATTTGGTTTATTATTATTATTATTTTTTTTAACTTTTAATTTATCATATATTGTGTATATAATTAATTTTTATATTAAGATATTTATAATTTTAATTTTATATCCTATTTTTTTGATATAATAATTTTTGTAGATCGGAAGAGCACANTAAGATATCTAATGTTGCTAAAATTGAAAAGTGAAAACTAAAATTTAAAAAAGAAAATTAACAATACATAAAACAAAAATACATTATAATTAAAGTACATTAAAGGCGGATACATTAAAATAAAAATTACATCAAAAAACATAAGTTTAGTAATCCCCTATGTCATTTCCAGGTGCACCAAAATTACCAAAATACTGAGAGAACGGGGTAGAAGATTGTTATGGTTGTGGTTGTTGAAATTGTTGACTTCTTTATCCATTATTCGTTTTTGTTCTTGTCGCAAAAATTCACGAAGATTTGGATCGTCAATGGAATTCAAGTGATTTCTTTTATCAATGATTCCATTGATGAAAGGTTTTCGTTCTTTTGTCCAATAAATTTGACTATGATGTAATATTTATTTAATTATCTTTTATCAATGATTTCACTTTTAGTTGATTTATCCATTAAAATAATTTTGTAATAAATGATTATATAAGTGGTGGATGTGAATTATATATAATGAATATGGAAAAAAGAAAAAAGATAGTATTTGTTCGAAGGAAATAAAAAATGAAAAGTAAATAGAAGATAATAACATAATATTGAAGAGAGAGAAGAAATATTATTTTTTGGTGTAAAAAATGGTGTAATTGTTGGAGTAAATTTGGTGGTACACCATTTTGGTGTGAAATTTGGTGTTAGGGTTGGAGATGGTCTAATGGCCTTTTTGGCCAAGCTTCTAAGTGGGCGTTTGGATATAAGAATTGTAAGATTCCAAAAAATTATGGAATTTTAAAATTTGGATTTGTGTTTGAACATGAATAAACTTTTAAGTAGTTTTTGAAGTCTTGTGAGTGATTTAAGTGAAAAATTTGAAAAACAGCTTTTTGAAAGTTTTCAAATTTCCAAAATGTATCTTCAAGTGAAAATTGGAAATTTTATGAACAAACGCTGATTTCGAAAAAAAGTAAAAATAATTTTGAAAAAAAGGAAAAAAAAAATTATGTCCAAACGGGCTCTAAAATCAACTTATTTTGAGAAATCCTTTTCTCAAAAGTGCTTTTCAAAAAAAATACTTTTAGTGAGAAGCAGTTTATGTTTGGCTATTTAAGTTGAAATGCACTTTTGAGTAGCGATTATTGTTTGGACAAGCTTTTAAAAAGTGATTCTAAGTGTATTTTCTCAAAAGTGCTTTTGGAGATAAGCTATTTTTTTTGCTTCTCAAAAACTGCTTAGGCTTCTCCTCAGCACTTTTTTCCTTTCAAAAGCTTGCCAAACACCTTAATTTTAGGGGAAAAAAAGTTACTTTTGAGCAAAAAAAAAAAATTTGTCTCAAAAGAAGCTTGGTCAAATAGGCTATCAGCCCGGCTGAAACTATTATTCGATATCCATTAAAGTATATAAAATTTATATATTTTGTATATGATATATATATATATATATAAATTAAAAAAGATCGATTATTACTTTGAGAGTGGCTATATAGTGTAATTTTCGGCTATTATTTGAATGCGGTTATATAGTGTCATCTTCCCTTTTATTTTCATGGACACTATTATTTTTTATTTTTCTATTTTTTTGATGAGTTGAATGCACATGAATTATTTTTTTTTTTTAACCAAGTATTAGATTGACCAAATTAATTGAAAATTGAAAAAGGGAGAATAATATATCCAACATTAATTTTGACTCTTGTTATCTTGAAATTTGTCATTAAGATGGAACTTTTCGATGCTATCAAAGAACTCATGCTAATGTTATAATTTATCGCAAGCTATTATAGAAATAAAACAAATCTATCAAAAGCATTTGGTGCTTGTCTGATTAATCACACTGATAACTTTAATAATTCACATAACTTTTATGATTTGGTAAAGAAAAGTAAAACTTATCACTTACTATGGTTAACTGATATATAATGCTACCTACATTTATTCTTTAATCATAATAAGTTGGCATATATACTACGCTGTTTTACTGGATTAAGGAATGCTTCTGCGTTATCTGATTACATGGTAATTTTTAAAATTGTGATCATTGCTCACCGAGTATATTTAACTTTTAATTATTTAAATTTTGTACCAAACCCTAAAAATTTAATTTTAGAACATGAAAGAGAGAAATAGAAGCCCTGGACAAATGATCTTGGCAATAATGAAACTGTGGAACAATTCTTGAGCTGTTACCAACCAGGGTTGTGGTGGAGTAATAAGTACTCCTACATTCTTAGAGATTTCAAGTTCGAGCCCTGGGTATGGACCTTTGTTAGAGAGCGTTTTACCCATCCCCACCCTAATGTGGGATTTTCCAGCGCAAATCAAGATTTAGTCGGGCCCCAATGCAAGTATCGGACATAGTTGGAAACCCAAAAAAAATTCTTGAGTCGTTACTTTGCATTGGCGAATAAGGCACTCAACTTCCAGAGAAGACAATTCACCTACTAAGACTAAATGAGAAAGCAGAGAATACAAAACTGCAATACATATAGATCACTACTTGAATTTTTCTTGTAACCTTCTTTTCGTTACTGTGTGTGTTCTTTTGTTTTTCCTTAATCCCAAGTTTTGTTTGTACAAAGAAATAATTAGATAATGACAAATGAAATACCAGAAATTTACTCCATTGTTGGCTTCTGTTTTTTTTCTTTCTTTCTTATAACCTTTCCCTCCACAATTTTATCTGATAGAACTCTCTAACTCCTTTTGGCGGCAATTGAACTCTAACCTCTTTTCTGCTTATAGTACTGTGTCTAATAGGAGAGTAGTTGGTTCAAGATTTACAATTGAATTCACATTGATAAAAACTGATATCTTAGTAATTTTTTCTTGTATTATTAAGGCATATGCATGATTTACATTAGAAAGAAGTACTACCACAAGTCAACATATTCTAGTCTATATTACTCATAATCACAAGTTTAGATAACGTTCAGTAATTTTGATTATAACTACCTAGTTGATCAAGAAATAAGATTACTTTCATCATTTTGAGTTTGCACTTTTTCTATTAATTTTATTATCTACCTCACACATATGTTTAATAATACATACGTTATTTTAAAAAGTTTTTATTAATTGACACAAGATGCACATGTGACGCACGAGATACACATGCGATGAATCCAATGATTTATTAGTCCAAAGAAAACTAAGATGGTTAAATTTATGTTAAAGTAATAATACACATACTACAAAATCACGCCACGCATACGCCAAGCGCGCCTCTTGACTAGGCATACAGTCCTACTAGCTCTACAGTAGCTGGGAATAAAAGCAGCAGCTGGGCTTATAGTTGGTCACATGGAATCTTCAGACCAAACAAACATTTCCGTTAAAGAAAGGAAACTAGAGTACAACTAAAGAATTCCAAGTCTAAAGAATTCCAAGGGAGGACGATAGCTATTTACTACATCGTTTTGGCTGTCTGCGCTCAAGACAGTCCAGAGCAGATACCTAGCCCTCGTAATCCCCCTCAGAGAACTTGTTCTCCGAATAAAAGACAGCAACAACTGGGTTTCCACCGAATTTTCTGCCATTCAATCCTTGTTGAGCTCTCGAGGAACCCTCCACATCCGTGTACTCCAAAAAGACCTGAGGATAACCAACAGCAAACATACTTAATAAACACGGAAACAAGGTTATAGCAGAAGTCTTTCAGCGTTGGTCCAAAGCATCAATTTGAGGATTTACTAACTGTTGAAATATTATAAGTTGCTGCTGATAAAACCAAGCGATTATGTCAAAACCTGTATAGCATCCTAAGAATACTGGTAGTGTTTATATTTGTGTAGAATACTGGTGCACGGGTTTATATCTTTTTTAAAAAGGTATATTAGTGCATGCCGGGGTGTTCGACTACGGAAGCGATTCATCTGGTAAGGAGATTAGTGCAGCAGTACAGGGAGAGGAAGAAGGACTTGCATATGGTGTTTATTGACGTTGACAAAGCGCACGATAAAGTCCCGAGGGAGGTCCTGTGGAGATGTTTGGAGGCTAGCGGCGTTCCGGTAGCGTACATTAGGGTTATTAAGGATATGTATGACGATGCTAAGACTCGGGTGAGGACTGTGGGTGGTGACTCGGAGCATTTTTCTATGGTGATAGGGTTGCACCAGGGGTCGGCTCTTGGCCCATTTTTATTTGCCTTAGCGAGGGATGTACTGTCGCGACACATCCAAAGGGAGGTGCCTTGGTGCATTGCTATTTGCCGATGATATAGTGTTGATTGACGAGACGTGAAGCGCGAAGCGGAGTTAACGCGAGGATGGAGGTTTGGAGACAGACCTTGGAGTCTAAAGGTTTCAAATTGAGTAGAACCAAAACAGAATACTTGGAGTGCAAATTCAGTGAAGGGACCCGTGAAGCAGACGTAGAGGTAAAGCTTAATGCTCAAGTTATCCCCAGGAGAGCGAGTTTTAAGTATCTTGGGTCTATTATCCAAGGTAACGAGGAGATTGACGAACATGTCGCACATCGCATCGGAGCAGGTTGGATGAAGCGGAGGCTCGCTTCCGGTGTTTTATGTGACAAGAATGTGCCGCCAAGACTTAAGGGTAAGTTTTATAGAGTGGTGGTTCGACCGGCTATGCTGTATGGGGCTGAGTGTTGGCTAGTCAAGAACTCCCACGTGTAGAAGATGAAAGTAGCAGAGATGAGGATGTTGCGATGGATGTGTGGGTGTACCGGGAGAGATAAGATCAAGAATGAAATTATCCGAGACAGAGTGGGAGTAGCCTCCGTGGAGGACAAGATGCGGGAGTCGAGGCTGAGATGGTTCGGACATGTTAAGAGAAGAAGCATTGATGCTCCTGTTAGGAGGTGTGAGAGGTTGGCCATGGCGAGTTTGAGAAGAGGTCGAGGTAGGCCTAAGAAGTACTGGGGAGAGGTGATTAGACAGGACATGGCACTGATTCAGCTTACTGAGGACATGACCCTTGATAGGAGGGTGTGCAGGTCGAGGATTAAGGTAGAAGGTTAGTGGGTAGTTTTTAGTTGCTCACCGATAGCCTTAGTAGCACGCATGTCCCTTCTTAGATTTTTATTACGTTATGTGATTTTGTTCGCCTCAGGTATTGTATTCTCTGTTGCTATTATTTGGTACTACTTATTCTTTATCTCTCCCTTTTTCTTTTCTCTTCCCTCTTTCTTCCTTTCTTGCTTTCCTCTTTTTCTTATTACCCTTCCTGAGCCGAGGGTCTATTGGAAACAAGCCTCTCTACTTGTTAGGTAGGGGTAAGGTCTGCGTACAGACTACCCTCCCCAGACCCCACCTGGTGGGAACATACTAGTTTGTTGTTGTTGTTGTTGTATATTGGTGCATAATAAAATTGTGCAGAAAGCATCATGGTGCATACTGAACTACTAACCTTTCCAACCCCTGGTGTCGGTTCACCATCAGGCCTTGGGCGTGGGATGACTAAATTCACTAAATTACCTGCAAATTGAACAAAGATAGTATAAATTTTCACATTAGAAGAATTGTGAAACCCAAAAATAAATTAAGCCAATTATATTTATGGCTAAGCTCATGATATTAAAGACTTGCGAAGATTTATGCCACATAAAAACATAAAAGAGCTATTAAATATAAAGCTTGAGTATTCAAAATGAAAGAACAAGACTAGCTTGATGCGTCTGAAGTAACTGAATGTATTTACCAAATTTCCCGCATTCAGTTCTCATATCTTCCACTATATCTTCATAGTCTTCATCATCTTTGAGCTCATCCGCGCTAACCACATTTGTTAGGCATAAGACTTTAGTAGGAGGTCCACCAGGTTGTAGCATGAGTCTCTGCAAATCAAAAGCCACAAACAAGCCACAGGCCCAAAGATCAGTCGACATTTCCCCTTGAGAAACAGTATAAGAATGTGACAGCCTAGAATAAATTGTCCAAACAAGCAAAGGAAAGAAACAAAAAGCAACACAGCTTGAATAACAAAAGGATAAACATTACCTGCAGTGCTATTTGTTGCTGAGCATGCATTAATATACTCTCCTGCTCTGGCTTAGGCTGTAAAGTACCTTGACTTGCACGTCTGACAGTAAGAGTTTTATCACCCATCTTAATCCCATTAAGAGCTGCACATGCAATATCTGTAACCGACACGTCAGAGTAAACACAAAAGGCATAGCCTTTCGAGTTTCCAGTTTCTTTATCTTTGACCAGATTAAACCCCCGAAGAGGGCCAAAGGACTCAAGCAACTCCCTAATCTGAGCTTCAGTGAAATAGTATGGCAGGCCTCCCACAAAAATACGGTCAGGACCTTCAAGCCCACCAGTGGATCCTGGTGATAATCCCACTGCAGCAAGGTTAAGGTTTGGATTCGGTTGGCTCGGACCAAGTGTTGCAGCCAGGGAGGGGTTATAATCAGTTGGTCTTCTAACTTTTACTTGAGTTCCCTACAGCGCGAGGAGACGATATTAGCACAAATTTGAGTTTCCTCCAATGTGAACTAAATATAGTCCAAGGCTGATAAATTATTATTCCCAAAAAATAGTACTTACAAAACAAGTCCTACATATGCAAAAGAATTAACCACTATAAAGTAAAAGGAGCCAGCAGAAAAAAGAACCAATACAAAGAAGAAACAAGACCACCAGCATTAAATACATGCGTCAGATGAAGGTAAGAATTTTAACAAATACCACCCTATACGTGAATCCAGGCCAACCTTTCACATACTGTCTTGGCAGGTGATTCAGAAGCCTACAAACTGATCCCTAAACTAGAAAGGAAGATTACCTCAAAGATAATGCCATCTAAGGCCATGGCATTGCTGGCCTCCTCCACGGATCTCATCTCAACGAAAGCAAACTTTTTCTCATGGTTTATATAAACATTAACAACAGCATCTCCTGGAAAACACAGTGAAAAATTAAAGCATCGTAGGATACGGCATAGTTGAGTTAAGACCTGAAGACAGTTCAATTTGACTAACCTGGACCAGCAGTGTTTCCACCAATTGCCGACATAACATGATTAAAGTAGGTCGCCACTGACTGAACAAGAATAAAATATTATCAGAAGACAGATTATCTACAGCCCAAATAAGTAAAATACATCTCATTTGAAAGTTCAAAATTTATTGAACAAGGTTTACTAGTTCTAGAAATAATTCTTCTCTTTATAGAAGAAAAAAGAAGTCACAAAACCTTCAACATAAGAATAGACTAATGTTAGAAATAAGTCAAACCCAAATTTGAAGGACCCCATATAAAGTATAATTTCTACCATCTCCATAATTTTTATGTGTGTTTCTCTCATCTTTTTCAAGATAAAAAAAGGTTTCCTTCTCCCATAGCTAGTATATTCCTTAGTTCATTTGCCTATACAAATGAGGCCCTTTGTGTTTGTTGGTGAACATTTTGGCACTGTAAAGATTCAATATTTCTCAGTAAATGACTTAAATGCATCTCTCAAGGCTCATTAAAAGGCTAGAAAGCATCACTTACTTTTATTTTTTAGAAAAAAATGGAGAAGTTAATAACGTGGCATTTGAGATGCTTATCCAGAGAATGCTTGAATCATGATGTCAAGTTTCACATGAATTTCTAATTCATTGTTTCAGCTGATAACTGAAGCGATTTCTCAAATTAGACACTGGTATCGTCTAGGGATAATATAGACAGAAAATTTGAGCTAAAACTAAGCTGAAGCTACAAGAGCGATTTGAGTAAAAATGAAAGCAGGTCTGTAGCCCATGACATTCAAGCCACCCTCATCCATGCCAAGAAAATGATAGATTCAAATAAGTTATGAAGAGGGGATGACTAATGATGGATTCAGTCAAATATATACGAAAACCACCAGCAGACTAACAAACTAAGGTAACTCTTTGACTACCAAATTTTCTGAATATAGGGAACCCAAGCTAACTATATAAGTAAAATAATCAAAACATCTGAACTAATAGGATGAAAAAAAAATTACCTGTTCATTTGCACTCGGAGGAAGTCCACCCACATAAACTCGCCTTGCATGTCTAGTTGCCTGAGAAATAAGCACTCTCAGAAAACCACCAAATTTTTTAAAAAAGAATTCCACCAGAAATTCTGATACTAAAATATTTCCTCAAGTCTATTGAAATGACCCTTCCAGCTCGAACTGTAGGCCAAATTTGAGAATTTCGAAAGCATGACATAATAATTTTTCTAAAGTTAGACTGAAGGAAAGATTCTGTTGCAGAGCATCCAGAAAAACTCAAGACAAATGCTGTAATTTCATCTTGTAAGTGACCATTTTGAAATCTCGTCATTAGAGCATCTAATTGAAGCAGACGAAGAGCTACTAATGGAACATTGAAAAAAATGAAGAGGTTGAGGAGACAACTAAGACCTGCTGAGTCATTGCCTGGACTGGCATAACAGGAATAGCTCCAAGCTGCCACAAACAGAGAGAAGTTTTAAAATCATTGAAAAAATAAGAACAAAATATTGTTCCACTTCCAAAAGGGAGAAAATACCTGTGCAGATGCCAAAGGGAACATGTTAGGAAAGATTCCTGGAATAGCTGGGGCAGTGGCAGGAAGTTGACCTGCAGGAGCATCTTATAGGGATAAAATGAGGATATTTTCTTTGTTTATCAATGAGAAGGACCTTTAAACACATAGATCTGTTTACTTCGGCTGCTAAAATTAGAACAATTTTTAGGTTTCCTCAAAATAATCTTCGGTAAATATTACAAAAGTATTTCACAATATATTCAGGTATTGGAGAAATTACTTGAAAGCTACCAAATAAAAAAACCCTGGTTGAAGATGAGTGAGACCTTTTATTGTCTTCCTTGAACATAAAAGCTAGAGCGGTTGGCTCACGCCCATTGTCAGCACAGTGGGGCTACTAGCCCAACGTTGCCTTCTTAGAACATAAGATAAGACATACTAAACAAAAAAACAACACCAAAGACAACAAAAAACAAAAATCTTCTCAGTCTCAGAGTTATTTCACCAATAAACAATTGAAATAGAATATGAACAGTCAAACAATTGAAATAAATGTGAGCATCCAATCTAGCAACATACCAAAATGAAACCATGCATTTTGATAAGAACTTTCCACACTACATCCAAAAGAAAAAAAAAGTAACAATTACCAAAATGTTGCCTATATAAAAGAAATCAGTAAGCACCTGTAACAGCAGGAGCACCGGGTAACAGAGCAGAAGTAGGAGGTGCCATGTCAAACCCGCTGATCCTTTTGCTGCAAGCATAATCAGTACGAACAGTTAGAGAAATGCTAATACAAACCTTTCAATAAATGAACAACAGTAACTGACTCCCCCCCCCCCCCCAAAAAAAAAAAAATAAAGAAGGAACCTATAGTATTACTAGTATTGTTAAAAAGAAAAAGAATGAACAATTAAATTATCTTCACCAACGAAATTACATAACTAGTAATGTCATATCTACAATTTCCGTCCCCAACTGCGTCTCTTTCAATTCATCCAAGCTACTAGGTACTAACTCAATTTTTCTAATGTGGGTGTCCGAGCTAGCTTGACACACCTCCACTATTTAGGTACCTGCATCTTCCAATAATACAGGTACCGGTAACTATGGCTAACATGGCTTAGATCGATGGACGTCATCCGTTGTCTTTGTTTCAACTTCATCGACTTACACACCCTCGGTGCTCCAAGATCTTAGGTCATTTAATTGTCCTTTTATAATAACTATTGTAACCAATCTCTTCTACCCTCACCACCCCTCACCAAAGGGAGTGTCCCATTTCTCAAACTAGGTACCTACCAGAAGAGTGAGGATATTTTAGCTCAACCTGCTGAGTAAAAAGATAAATGCTAATGAAGGAACTAATATTACATGCATGAAACTGATTATTCCACGGGAACCAGAATTGCACTCATAGCTGAAATCAGACAAACAATTTCCGGATTAACAGCTACTACTACTACTACGCCTCAATCCCAAACAAGTTGGGCTCGACTACAAATAAAATGTCCCGGACCAGCATGAATGCAAATCTGACATTCCTCAACATAAGCAAAGAAAAAAAGTACCATAGTCTCTGTAATAGAGAGCAATCCCAAAGGACTGCCAATTATCAGTTTTTCATGGTCAGCAGAGAACTTACCTTTTGGAGCGTGAACGAGAGCGAGAGCGAGAACGTGATCTTGATCTATGACCAGATTTTCCCCTCGAGTGAGATCTGTGTCCACGCCTCTCCTCTCTATCTTTGTCATAGGATTTTGACCTGTGTCTATCTCTTTCCTCTCCATCCTTGTCATACGATTTGGACCTGTGTCTATGACCTTCCTCTCGCTCTCTCTCATAAGATTTTGACCTATGTCTATGCCTCTCATCTCTATCTCTATCTCTATCTCTATCTCTATCATAATCTTTCTGCCTGCACCAACAAATAAATCACAGACATGAATGCATGGCTTGTCCCCAACCAGAAGCAAGGGAAAAACAGATGTGCAAAACAGCCAATGCGATGGCACATATATCAGCAATTCTACCACAACTGATTAAAATGAGCAATGATTACCAGTATTCCCGGCCCTCAGGACCATCATCAGAAATGGTAGCAGCATCATCTCTATCTCTAGTCCTACGCCTCTCACTTCGATCTCTGTGGCGACGATCACGATCTTTTTCGCGATCACGATCCCTTTCCTTGTCTCTGCTCCTATCTCTATCCTTATCACGTCCTTTGTCCCTCTCCCTGTCCCTGCTTCTTGACGACTCCCTTTCATTTTCATAATCACGGGAGCTGTGCTGAAAGATGTAAAATCATTGGAAATGTTAATCAAAAACAGAAGCAATAAAGGGGAGCGAGTAACAACCAGATGTTAAACAATGAAAAGCATAATTTTGTAGCATCCAACTACACAACTCTGATTTATTTCTGCAGGAAATTATAAATTTACAACTCCACCTGAAAGAACAATCATAAAACGAAACCTACATATGCAAAGAAGATATTCTAGTGAATCCAATATTTCACTAAAATCAGAAGGAACCTGCAATGACTGACCTATATAAATTCTTACATTTCCTCTGCAAAGTATTCATTTCCATGATGTGCTGTTCTACTAAGGATAAAACCCATCGACCAACATTCACCTTACACCCATTTATCCAATATAAGATTGATAAAACTAACCAGGTTTCAAATGACTCACAGATACCAAACTGATTCGCCTCGTAGAACTGATAACATGACCAAAAGAACATTAATTTGCTGTCCCCTTCTGCATGATCTTGACCATAAACAAAAAAAATGCCATTTTGAAGTCCAAGTGTGCCCATCAGGGGTGAGGATAGGAGGAACTTCATCCTAGCTCCACATTGTCAAACTTAATTTTGAAAAAGAGATACTATAACACAAGGTAAACAATTAATCACATGCTAAGGATAATTTTCTACTCAATTGTTAGCCTCTTCCTACATATAATCAAAAGAAGAAGCTTTAAAAAATATGTTGGAGCAATACGCATTAAAAAAGTCGACGGACTAGAACCCAACCAAAATCAAATGTTTCCTTTGACAAGTCTTGCCTAAGATTAAAATATATGCTAAATAAAAACAGTTCCAAAAGTTGCAATTTTCATTAAGAGTAGACCATAATAGCATTGAATAGCCACAAATTTCATCATACCTTAGAGCTTGATCTTCTCCTCCATAAATTTCTATAGAATATGACTAAAGATAACTACTATTGTTGTTCCGGTTTATGCAACATTATTTCTTTATTAGTATGTTCCAAAGAGAATGATATATTTTTTCATTTGAAAACAATCTAATCTTAAACCTCCATTCTATAATTAATGAAAAGTTTTATAACCACACAAATCTTATGGCATGTTGAAGACCACAAGTTTCAAAAGTCTTCATTTCTTTCGTAAACTTCGTGCAAATCAAACTATTTACCTTTGGCCGTCACGCTATTCTACAATCAACCAAGCTAATTATGCTAAAGATAGCCTTTGATAGATCTCTACGACCTACCTCAACAGTGTTATTAAAAGCGATCGCTTCTGCGCTTTAACCGAGAAGCGAGGCGCAACCCTTGTGCTTTTCTGCCCTAAAGCGAGACATGGGTTAAAAAGCGCACGCTTCATGCCCAGAAGCGAGGCGGGCGAGAAAAGCGAAAAAAGCTCGCTTAAGCGAGGTCGACGACTGCCTAGGGTTTATTTTGAAATTTCGCAAATACATTCTCACTTCTCTTCCAAAACATCTGCTTTGAGTGGACTGTTGCAAGCCTTGCGACATCTCTTCCTCTTCTCTTGAGTGTTGCGACTTCTTTCAAGGTAAGTTTTCTCTTCTCTTCTCTTCTTCTTTTCTCTTCCTCTTCTTCTTTTCTCTGCTTTACCTGTTTCCTCTCGACTCCTCTTCACTTTTCTCTTTGTCTCTTTTTTCTCTTCTTCTTTTCTATTTTTTTTTTATTCTTCGACTTGCAGCAGTTATTTTCTATGTTCTGCCCTTCTTTTTTCTTTGTTCTGCTCCGGGTTTTTTTTCTTCTCAAATGTGATGACACTTCAAGAGTTTGGAGATCTTGTTGATGATAGTATGTTGCTCCCTTTGTGATTTGATTTTGCATTTGCTTAATATGTTATGACTTATGAGGATTATTGACTATCCAGTCCTGGTATCTATTATATACTTCTTACTTTAAGAATTGAAATATTTGCTTAATATGTTATATTTATTGAGTTCTTGGCCATTTAGCTAAGCTTATTTAATATATTTTATTTTTGTATTAAATTGTGTTTCACATGGAAAAGAAAGAAGCGCTTCGCTTTACGCTTCTCGCTTAAGGTGAAGCGAGGCCTCGTTGCTTTTTTCCGCTTCTCGCTCTCCAAAACACTGCTTCAACATTAGAATTCAGAGATAACGGCTATTCAGTTAGCTGCTGAAATCTGTGTGGTGATTGAGACTAATTCAACCATTGCTAGGCTGATGATGATACAAGATGTGTCCCACCTATCCGACTCTCAAGGACAAAAGGTATGCATTACTTTTAACAGACACGGGAAAGCTAGGTATCTGCTCCTACTTCACGAGACGGAGGGAGTAATTGTCAAAAAACTCATCATACCTTAGAGCTTGATCTTCTCCTCCTCAAATTATGTTCTTCTTCTTCTCCATTATCCACACCGGCTATTTCGTTCTCACCACCAGTACGACTAGGCGTGAGCTGACTGCGCCCATTTTCATGGGAGTCCATAGATGATTTAGAGTAGAACACCTGGAAATTAACTAAAATGTGTTAGGACCACAAACTTACCTAAGACTAACTAAAACACACATGGATTAATAGCACTTTTAGTCCCTCGATTATTGGTAAATTCTGATTTTGATCCTTGTGATATATGATTGAATCCATTTAACCTTCAATTAGTTAAAAATGTGTGTTTTTGGTCCCTTTATGTGAATTATATGTTATATTTAGAATATTTTTAGAACTATATTACCCTCAAATATGAAGTAACAGTACAAACTTACTGTAACACATGAGTAATTAAATGGTGTAATGGTCACTAATTCTGGTAATTTTTGAGTACTCGCGAGCAAAAGGATGAAATGCGCACATTTCAATTAATTGAAGGTTACAAGTGTTTAGTAAGATATAATACAGACTAAAATTAGAACTTGTCATTAATTGATGGACCAAAAGTGCTCTTAACCCAATTTTCATCATGTCGCCACTTCTAAGCTCAATCCTGATAGTTCATAATTCAGTTGGTGCGAATTCAAAGGATACGAAATACGATACATTCTATCATCAAAGCAAATCTCGAGAATAAAATTTATCTTAAGAAAACATGTAAGGATCGATAAATTTCCCCTGATTATGTAATTGCATTCTCACAAGTCATAGAACATAACGTTATGCGTATATCTATGTGTGTGTATATGTAGAAAGAGAGATAGTATATGTATGTATAATATATATAGAGACAGAGAGAGAATGGTACAAACTGGCAAACGGCTGCACTGCTCCGGCGAGGTGAACCGGGAAACTGCACGGCGATCGGCTAAACTAGTGCTAGGGTTTGTGAACGTGTAGGAGAAAGCAAAGTGAAGGGGAAAAAAATGTGAATTAAACAATTCTATTATGGTTCCAGACTACGGCGTTTTGTGAGATGGGCCGTTGAGCTGTGTAAATGGGTCTCGAAATTGTGGATCAGGTAATTGGACAGTTTGGGCTGCCAATCGCTATTATTTGCTTTTGGGCTTATAAAAGGAGCATGCATACAGCTAGTAGAAATGACACCAGGTAGCCACTTCTAAAGGGTACTATTTTAAGAATTAGTCAATACATCATGAAGTTTAATTTTCAAGTGTCCTGAATGGTCTTGAATTAGATTGTTAGTTCAAAATTTCAGGATAAAATAAGTACTAGCTAATTCCTAATTAGCAGCCCTAAGAAAGGTTGTTTGTGCACTTCGCCCATAAAATTTTTACCCATGGACAATATTTTTGGCTTTTGACCTTGAAGGTTTGATCATTGGACATGTGGTCTGCCTTAAAGGCCAAAAGTTAAAGACTATCCCTTATAGTGTTATATATTTCTGTCATTTTGTTATTCTTTATCGGCTCCATTTTATGACACTATGGCATGGTATTAAAATGTTTCCTCAGTTGTAATTTACGTGATATATGTCATGGGCGGCTTTCCAGCCATGTCCCATGACCCCTTGGGCGCGCCCCGTGGCGTCCTAGCGAACCTCCCAATGTCTAGCGCCACGGACGGCCCCGTGGTCTTGGCCGCGCCAAGTGACAAGCGCGCAGGTGCCTCTGTCGCCCCACCGATATCCCTCGCGAGCGCCAAGCCGCAGGCAGAAGCCAACAGCGCCGCGCGCGCAGACCGTGATGCCAAAGACACTGCTGCTGACGACGGACCTGCTGCTGCCTTATAGAAAACTAAGTCATTTTCATTGTAAATATAGAGTAGTTTTATTTCATGTACTTCCATTATGTTTCTCTAGCTTAGTCAAGTCTAGTCTTGTAACTTTGGATTATTTTTTTTAAGTACTATTAGGGGGGATCAAGTAATCAAAACTTTCTAGCAAGCAAGCAATTCTCTGTACTGGTGTCTCTCCCCCTCGACACCGCGTTGCTTTTCTGTAATAGCTTTCATTAATGCAATCAAGCTTTCTTTCATTCTGAATTCTCATTTCTGTTCTCTCAATTGCTCTTGACATTGGTTTTCCCGTACGGCACTGACAATCTCGTCTAACGTACGGAGGGGACCTCAGTTGGCGGACAGCAACTGCACTGACATCAGTTGCCTAGCCTTACGTCGCCCTTCCAAGGAATCTCAGGAAGGCGACGCGTAACAGTTGGTATCAGAGCCTAGGCTCGACATCGGACGAGGGAACGTATTGACATACCACCATTTCTGACCATGGTGAATCATGGGGACCGCATTGCGGCCCTCGAAGGGACGGTTGAGGTATTGCGGCCTATTATGGATACGGTGCCTGAACTAAGAACCAGCCTACTGCAAAGGTTGGACGACCTGGACCGCAGGGTGCTTCAGGTCGAAGTTGACGTTGAAAACATCAGTCGCGACTCCGAGGGAGACCGACAGACGGCAGCCACAGAGGCAGCCGAAATCTTTGAGAAATTCGAGGGGCTCCAACAGGAGCGCACCGAGGATTTAGCCCACAGGGCACAAGAGGCAGAAAAGGTGACTGCCATGCAACAAACCATTGACAAATTGACAGACCAACTCAATGTTGTCAACGCTGCTTTACAGGGCCTACTCCGAGGAGGTGGAAACCAAATCGGAGGTGCTGTGAACTCCGCTTCCGCGACAAAGAAGCTGAAAATTCCTGAGCCAAAGCCATACAGTGGAGCTAGGAATGCCAAGGAAGTGGAAAACTTCATCTTTGACGTCGAACAGTATTTCGATGCTGTTGGGGATCTGGAGGAAGCTAAGAAGGTAGCAACTGCTGCCATGTATCTTCAGGGTGATGCTAAACTCTGGTGGCGTGTGAAGTACGAAGCCATCAAGGCCGGTGAAGATGCTCTCGAGACATGGGCCGAACTGAAGGCAGCTATACGCCTGCAGTTCTTCCCCGAGAATGTTGAATATAATGCAAGGAGAAAACTACGGGAGCTCCGCCAGACAAAATCAGTGCGGGACTACGTGCGAGAATTCTCCGCACTCATGCTCAGCATACGCGACATGGGGGATAAGGACAAACTCTTCACCTTCATGGAAGGGTTGAAACCTTATGCCCGCGTGGAGCTACAGAGACAAAGGGTAGATTCCCTTCCCAAGGCAATCCAAGCAGCTGAATGCCTTGGGGACTATCAAATGGAAGCTCGAAGGGACAGGCCTCAGCCGCCTGCCCGAGCAGGGTTCAAAGGGGGCCAGCCCAGCAGTGGTGGTCCTAGCAAAAATGGGGGAGATCGGAACTCAAACAAATCTAGAGCTCCTTCCTCCGGCAGCAACAGTGCTGCGTCAAACAACAATGATCGGGCGAGAAAGCCTCCTTCAGGATGCCGTCATTGCGGCGGTCCACATTGGAACAATGAGTGCCCACATGCACAGATGAATGCCCATCAGGCTATTGATGATGGGACTGATGACGACTCAGACGATGCGGACCAGACTGAACCAGTAGGTGCCTTCAATGCAATTGTGGGTTCCATTTCTGAGGCACTAGCGGAGACCAGTGCTGGTATTCGTAAGAAGAAGGACTCATGTCCCGTCACCAGGAAAGGGAAAAAGAAGGCGAATGAAGAGACTCCTCTTAAACAAGAGAGGACCTTAATGTTCGTCGAGATGAAGGTGAATGGCAAGCCCATTCGGGCTATGATAGACACGGGTGCTACCCACAACTACTTAGCCTCGACTCAGGTGGAGCGCCTTGGACTAGTTGTAGGGAAAGGTAAAGGTAGCGTCAAGGCTATCAACTCACCTCCCCAGCCAGTGGGTGGAATAGCTAAAGAAGTACCGGTGAAGCTTGGGCCTTACGAAGGAAAATTCAACCTGCGAGTGGTGATCATAGATGACTTCGAGTTGATTGTTGGGCTGGAATTCCTAAGGCAAACCAACACCATGCCTGTACCATTTGCAGACATGCTACTGATGATGGGTACCAATAGGGCCAAGCCCTGCATTATCCCGTGCCTGCCCATGAAGATGGCCGTTGAGAACATCTCGGCCTTGCAGTTGAAGAAGGGGGTCAAAAGGAATGAACCTACGTTCCTGGCAACCCTCTGCATTGAAGATATAGAACGCTCCTCGGGTCCCATTCCTGAACCCGTGAAGGAGTTACTACTGGAGTTTGAAGATGTCATGCCACAAGACATGCCAAAGCGGCTCCCGCCTAGGCGCACTGTGGACCATGAAATTGAGTTGGTGCCGGGCGCGAAGCCACCTGCCCGGGCGCCTTACAGAATGTCACAACCCGAACTCACCGAGCTTCGGAGACAATTGACGGAAATGCTTGATACAGGGATCATTGTACCCTCCAAGTCCCCATATGGGTCCCCTGTTCTATTCCAAAAGAAACATGATGGCAGCCTGCGACTCTGTGTGGATTATCGAGCTCTAAACAAAATCACCGTGAAGAACAAGTACCCTATTCCCCTAATGGCGGACTTGTTTGATAGACTGGGTGGTGCTACGGTGTTCACCAAGATAGATCTGAAGACAGGTTATTGGCAAGTTCGGATTGCAGAGGGTGATGAACACAAGACGACTTGTGTGACAAGATATGGGTCGTACGACTTCCTGGTCATGCCATTCGGCTTGACCAACGCCCCTGCTACGTTTTGCACTCTCATGAACCAAGTCTTCCGAGAGTACATCGACGAATTTGTGGTGGTCTACTTAGATGACATTGTGGTATATAGCCAGACATTGGAAGAACACCTAGTACACTTGCGGAAGGTCCTAGCTCGGTTGCGGGAACATGAACTATATGCAAAGTTATCCAAGTGCTCCTTTGCTCAGAAGCAAATTGATTTCCTCGGACATGTCATCGAGGAAGGACGCATCAAGATGGACCAACAGAAAATCCAGGCCATCACAGATTGGCCGACACCTAAGGATGTCCACGCCTTGAGGGCGTTCCTTGGCCTATGCAACTTCTACCGGCGGTTTGTGAAGAACTACTCACTTATCGCAGTGCCATTGACAGAACTCCTCAAAAAGGTCACACCTTGGGATTGGGGACCAAGGAGAGCAGAGGCCTTCAACGCATTAAAAGCGGCTATGTCTAGTAGTCCCGTCTTGGCCCTTCCTGATTTGGCCAAGCCGTTCGAGGTACAAACAGATGCTTCTGACTATGCACTCGGCGGAGTCCTGCTACAAGAAGGGCACCCTGTAGCGTACGAGAGTCGGAAGCTGAAGGATGCAGAGCGGCGCTATGCCGCCCATGAGAAAGAATTATTGGCTGTCGTCCACTGCTTGCGCCTCTGGAGGCACTATCTGCTGGGAACCCCGTTCGTGGTCAAGACAGACAACACAGCTGTTAGCCATTTCATGACCCAGCCGAAGCTGAACGGTCGACAGGCCAGGTGGCAGGAACTCCTAGCTGAATTCCACTTCAACTTGGAGTATCGCAGTGGAAAGACCAATCATGTTGCTGATGCGCTCAGTCGGAGAGCTGATCTAGCATCGGTGTGCCTACTCGCCACCCTAAGGGGGAGCGAAGTAGCCACATCCATCAAGGACCAAATACGGGATCTACTCATCAAGGATCCTGCTGCTCAGTATTTGGTTGATTTGGTAGGACAGGGCAAGACTCGCCAGTTCTACATGGAAGATGGTTTTCTGAAAGTAAAAGGGAACCGACTTTATGTTCCTAAAGGAGGAGATTTGCGGAGGACTCTTCTAGCGGAATGTCATGATACTCTGTGGGCCGGCCATCCCGGTGAAGAACGCACCATGGCGTTACTTCGTCGTGCCTATTATTGGCCTCAAATGGCCGATGATGTCGCTCAGTATGTGAAGACTTGTCTAGTATGCCAGAAGGACAAGTCGGACCGCTTGACACAAGCGGGACTCTTGGAACCACTCGCTGTCCCAAAGAGACCTTGGGAAAGCGTTTCCCTGGATTTCATCACCGGATTGCCCAAGGTCGGAGATCTCACAACCA